GATAAAGAGTTGATAAACTATTTGAAAATTTCAATTTACAATAGTGGGCAATTTTCACCTAACATTGAGTATGGGAACAACTTCGTTATGAAAATTTCAAAAGATCGTTAAAAAGGCAGATCAATTTAACTTTAACGGAGAAAATGATTTTCAAGTATTGGCAATTTAATTAAATTCAAAAGAAACCTATCTATTTTGGTTTAGAGATAAAAAATCTAAATAAATATATCAAAAAACTTATTTTTTGATTAACTTAGTTAGGTTTAAGCTACTCCCTATAATTCATCATATTTAAATCACAATTTAAATAAAAATTTCACTTAAATAAAATTTTACAGCAATTCCATTTGATCATTTTTTATGAGTTCATTGCATTTAGAATACATAATTTAAAATATTTATTGAAAGATAAAATTGCTTTTTCTGATATTGTCAACATTGTTTAAGAATGTATTTAAGATGATAATAATTTAAATAATGAATGTCGAATCATTTAAATACTTAACTTAATATCTCTACTTTGCATTTACCAGAAAGATGTACACATGGATACAAATCTTTGGATGTATCAATGGTGAGAGTCTAAATAATAAATTAAAATTGATACGAATGATTCATTTGTGGATTACTTTGTCCATTTCACATACTTCTTTTCTATATCTACTTCTACAATTATGATATCATTTGTTGAAAATGGAAATGCTATTTTCTTATCATTTTTATCTTATTAATCATGATTGTAACAAATACCTGGATAAGATATATTATATGTTCTATTTTAAACTATTAATATCATAACACATACCCTCCACCAATATTAAAACAATTAAAATATTTCCTACTCCAAACAATATCCCTAAAACCAATTCCAATCATAATAGAACTTATTTCAATAATTTTAAAGCAAATTAGATCACTCCATTCTTAGGAATCATTTAATCACACATACAACAACACCAAGCACCAGATGCATTCTCAATAACTTTTCCATTCTAAGTTACTGAACCAGCATTATGCTTATAAGTTGTTGAGAAAGTTAGTTAATTTGAGAATATATAAACCTACTTCTAATAAATATATTAATTATACCAAAGTTTATTTTAATTATTTAACAATTTCTTCATTCTTTTGAATTGAGAATTAGCATTTTTCTAAGCCTCCTTCCTTTTCTTAAAGTTTAACTTCAAAGGATATTTCTATAAGAAATTAATGTATTTTTACTTTATTACTCAAATTCTTTTAGTTTAATTGACAATTCTTGTTTTTGATTCTTTAGATCTTAAATTATCTTAATTTATTGTTCATCATGCTTCTTAAAGTCAATTATCATTTATTCATTCAATTAAATAGTCTTTTCATTTTATGTAATTTAATATAATAAGGATTCTTTATCTTGCTTATTTTAATTTAGTTCATCTTAAATTTTATCAAATTAGGTTAGTTTTATCATTAAACCAAAATCTTTTTCTAATTATTATACATATTGATTAAACTAATTAAATTAATAAAATTGTACTTGTTATAATTACACATCTTTAAATTCAGTCTATAAATTATTTATTGATAGTATTATTTAATTATACTAATGTAAAGTTTCATTTAAGATTTCCTAATATATCTTAAGATGTTGCACTTATAAATTAAGTTACTTAATTGATTATTGATTTTAAATGTGATTATCATTTTGTAGAATTTCATTATTTTACATTTTTGCATCAGCAGATTTAAAACTGTATTCCTTTATGATCTTATTAATCTTATGAGTAGCTAATAAATCATTTTATAATAGTTTTCCTAAATTATTTGAAATAACTTCCAGTTAATTAAGGTCTTGTGTTTTTATATTAAATTACTTTTCAATTAATGCTTGGAATTTGTCTGCTTAACTTAATATTTCTGTTAATTCATTAACTTAATCAATATTGATTTAATAAATTATGTTTTCATTAAATTCATTTATCTCATTTTGAGAAAACATTGAATATTAAGTATTTACCTTATTGATTATTTCTGATATTGTAGAATTATATTTTTCTTTAATATCTTCAAAAATTCTAATGATTTATATTGATTTCTAATATCTTTCATTCTAAAATTGCTTAACTTAATCAGTTGTTTATCCTAAATATTCATTCCATTTATAATTAGCATCACTTATAGTTGTATATTTAATTGGATCATTTGATTAAATACATTCTACACAAGCTAATCTTGATAATTAAGTTTTCTCAGGATTTAAGTTAAACATTATAATTTCTTTTCCATGGTTATTACATTAGATCTTCAAACTTGGTGTTTTCTAATTTAAATATATATATTAATAATTACTTATGGGTTTTCATACTTCCGACAAAATTATTAGAGTTATTATATTTCTGAATATTCCATATCTACTTTAGTTTTTTCTAAGTTTTCATTAATTTATATAAGAATTGGACATTTAATTATTAATTGCAATTACTATTAAATTGAATCAATATATGAATTATCATCTATAGATATACCAAATTCCTTAGGGATTTCAAACCTGAATGATCCTTTGTAATTCTTTGATAAAACTCTTACATCTTCTTCAAAAGAAGAAACATAAATTTTCGATTCTGATTACTCTAAATTATTTTCCATTTAAGTTATTTTCTAATCTAGATTACATTAAACTTTGTCTAAGGTATTATTAATTGATAATTTCAATTCTTTTACTTAGGATTGAATTTCCCTGTAATTTTCAATCTTTCTTTAATATTCTTTGAGTTTATAATTCAATTGCTCATTTCTCATTTATTTAATCATAGTCTTAGTATCTTCAACCAAAGCCATATTCTAAATATCAATCTTCTCCATTAAACATTTGATACAAAGGTATTTATCCTCTTCAGCTGTAGACTACTTTAAATCTATTGTCAATATTTCTAATTTATGTCTTGAACACATTCTCTTATCTAATTCAAATTACATTAATATATTATTTCTATAATAATAATACTAAAAATTATATGAATATCGAATATATATTCTAAAGTTAATAGAATTTAATAAATAGCTAAATGAATTTAATTTACTAGAAATTAATGTAGAAAGGTATACATCTTTTAAAATCCAAGAAATCGTCATTATATAAATATAATGATTTAAAATTTTTTTATAAAATATTTGCTGATGATGTCATAATTAGGATGTTAGGAAGCTTTGCTTTCTGAACCTCCCCCATCGTCTTCGGACCTGCGGGAGACTTAGAATGGACACAATTATGTAGTAGTGGACAGTAAATATAAAAGGCGTAAGAGATTTAGAATTAAATATAAGGGCCCTCAACTAACCTGGTCGAACCTAGAGGCTCGAAGACAAATGTTGTTGAATATAATGATTTTTTTGACAAAGGAACAGCTGTTTTATTAAAATAGAATTAAGAGAGTTCGCTTTATATTCTTAAGAAACATTGCAAAATCTCATGGGTTATTATTTTGATGCTTTTAACCCACTTCTAATTCAAAGCATACATGTAACTATAAAGTATAAAGTAAACTTTTAGGATGCTAAAATTTAAAAAAGTCAGATTATAGAAAATTACTATGATAAGTAATT